CTGCGAGCTATAGGTGGTTACCTGGATCTGTTTGGATGGCTATGAAGTCATGGTTTAACTAAGTGTTAAATGAAGTTGAGACCGGGCGGAGACTTGCAGGGTTTTGGACCGTAGTGTGTTTCCGTCAGTGTCGATTAAGGACCGACCGTTGTTGGGCCTCGAGTCATGTTGAACGCATGCCTTACATTTAGTGGGCGGATAAAGTACCTTCCGACCGCTGGTTGGGGGAGATTTTTCGGGCCGAGTAGATTGCCCATGACAAGACCGTGCGGCAGGTGTGGTAGGACACGGGGCGGATGATAAGACCAAAGTGCGCAAATCGGCCCCGGGTACATGTGGTTCTGGCAAACTCGAGATACCGGAAAGTTGACTCGGTGATCAATATCTCACTTTAGCGGGTGAGTGAGATTTGTGTAAGGAATAAATCACCAGCTGGTTAGGAATCGATTCGAATCGCCATCGCTCCTGGATAGTGAGCACTTGACTTGAGTTACTTCATCGTAGTAAATGTTTATGGAACACTTGGACAGTTATAGTGAATATGATAGTATGGAAGTTGTTTAATGATCAGTGGTTATCATTAATTGCTTAATCACATGTTTACTCTAGTATAGGTGCAAATCTAGTCGACAGGTTAATAATAATTAACTTGACAATAATGCTTTTAGAAAGGTTCTTGAAATGCTAAAAATGTTTCTTTTGCAAATGAGTCAGCTACCCTACTATAATGCCTGCATAATCCTTGGTGTCATTTATTTTCGGTTATGTCGGGTAAGTCTGGCTGAGTACATTCTCGTACTCAGGGTTTTATTCCCACTTGTTGCAGATGGGCAGATGTACTATGGCTACTGTATCAACTGCCTGTATCCTGCAATGGGTGATGCTTAGGACCATGGGCATGGTCATTCCTTACGTCTCATCTAATGCTTTTGTTGGAGATGATCATTCACTGGCACTATATTTAAACTCCGCGTGAGTGTGTGTGTGGTTTGAACAAATGACTTCCGCTACTTTTATTCGAACTGGTTTGTAATAACTATGTTTAAACTCTGATGTATCTGAGATTGCGAACTTTTATGTAATATGTGATGGTGACCGCTAAACTTATTACGATCATGGCTGGGACACGAGTTGGTTTGAAATCCTTCGTGATTTCACGGACTACCGGGTTATACGGGCTTAAGTTTGCTCAATCGTCTGCTCTGGTGGATGATTTTCTTACTTAATTTCGTATAATTGGTCGGTTCTGTTACACCCTCTCCTTGTTTCCACCGATTGATCGACTCGCTGGAGTGGTAGAAAGAGGACCCCTAGACGGCAGCGAGGTGCCCTAGATGGAGGCAGAGGTTTGATGGTGTATAGTTGATGGACTAGTTTGTACAAAATTGGGCACTGCACCAAAATTATTTGAAAACCATGAATAGTGAAATTATATATGTTACTATCATTACATTACGCTAAACAAATTGGGTCGCGGCACATGAGGTTTAATTGGTTTTCCAGTACAGTGGTAGAAGTATACTCAGTTGTTTTTTTAAAAAAAAAAAAGAGATGTTTGATGATTTTAACAATAGGTTTGAGGGAGAAGAAAAAGGGCAGCAGACGACATGGTGGCCGGGATTGATCAAAGACAAAAGCAAAAGGTAATGGGAAAAAAGAAAGAAAGATGTGGAGAGCATTCCTTGCCCTCCCTTTGCTGTCCACCTTATCAAGCACCATGAATTGGAGGGAAAGAAAGATAGTCAAGGTACGTGGCGCACACGGCCGGGATCCCTTCTCATAACATATCAAATCATGGGATCCTCTAGACAGATAGAGTAGGATAACATGTAGTACCAGTAGCTGCCTACTTGCAGAGACATGCATGGATCGGATAGGCCACCAAAAGGAAACCATCGAGGCTTATATATGCCTGGGGTCGTCGTATCCTCCAAAGCCACCCGGCCGGCCGGCCCCCATGTCATGTTAAAAGCAAAAGCAATACCGGCATCTTTGAAAAGACCTCATCAGCCAGCTAGTGGGATATATATGACTTTCAGAAGTGATACGTATGTCGGTGTATTTGTGCGTTTTCAGCGAACTAATTATAGCTTTGCATATATCATTGTTTACAATTAGAAGAGGTGGATTACGAATACTCTCCGTCTGTTCTCATTTCTGAGGGTGAGGGAGGGAGGGGCTTTATAGGGGCATCATTCATGTCCTATCTTCATCAGCTAGCGGCAGCTGTCACTTCTACAAAAACCATCCGTGGAGACTTCTTTTTAATTACAGACAGCTCAATCTACAACCGCCTCTAAAAATAGTTACTAAAATAAACCGTCTCTAAAAATACATCTATAGTGACAGTTGGTATTTTTAGTTGCCTCTACAAATACCCCTATCTTTATAGGCAGCTCCACAAACGGATTTCTAGAGGCGGTTGGCCCCATGTTGGCTCCACGTCTGCGATCGGGTTGGGGAGCACTGAGATGTCCGAGAACCATTGAGGCAAGGAGGTGCACTCAAACCAAATCCCCACCACGCTCCGAGAAACTCCTACGTCCTGATGGCCAAGAGGATTTGTCGGAACGACTGACGGCCCGAGCAATGGGAGAGGAGCCTGGATGTTGACCACTTCAGTCCTCGGGTGTTCAGGCCTGAAGTCTGGGTGGCCTGTTATCCCAAGTGGTTCCGCCGAGCCACATCGGCAAGTACAACAGCGAGACGGCCCCGAGTCACTGGCTCGAGGACTACTGGCTCGCGACAAGGGCCAGAGGGGTGAACGGCGACTTCGCAATCCAATATCTCCCGTTGCTCCTGTCTAGCTCCGCTAGGGCTCGGCTCGAGTAGCTCAACATCGATTGCACCAACGAGAACAAAACAAGAACAAAAAAGATGGAGAAGATAATAAAAAGACCAATTCTAGATTATATAGATACTACTACATATTAATATGGAGAAAGAATAAACAACTTAGACACAAAAGTATAGTTAACTAGTAAATTATTAATGACTATCTAGCTAATGGAGGGTGTACTCTGGGGGCACCAGATGTTGGGGGTGCCAGGCCCCCCTCAAGCCCTTCCTTCGCCATTGGACACGAGCCATCAGTAGGAAGAAATGGGGAAACTAAAACTATTGGAAAAACTAGGAAGAAATATTGTATTTATTTTGTCTTGTCAACTGTTACAAACATCATGTTTATAGGGAAGGCGAACGACTGCTTCCAAAATTATAAGATACCCCAATTCTACCTATTCGGGGAGCACAATGGTCTTTTGCCCAAATTTGCCTCTGTGGTCCTCATTTGCCCTGCTCCTCGTGTTTCTAGCCCAAGATGTTTCTTGAACCTTCTAACCTTCAGGCCTTCCAAAGGTTTTTCTCCCTCATGCTCATATATTATGTGTACATTCGGAATCTTTGTGTAAATCTTTGGGACTCATCCTTAAACCATATAGAGCTCTATGTATTATCGCCCTTTCAAAGCTGCTCTTTGCTTTGATGCTTTCTCTCTTGCCTTCATTCTACCTTGCCAACCTTTGAGCTACCTGTACGGATTCAGAACGTAGTGTACCTCTGCGGAGGTGATGGAAAGAGGCAATGGACGAAAAATGGTGGCGTCTATGAAGGTCTTGACCCTAACATCCAAAAAAGAATGCAAACCTCATTTTGTGATGAGTCAAACAATTTTAATTTTGACCGAATCTATATAAAAAAGTATTAACATCTATGATAGTGAATAAATATTATTAGATTAATTATGAAATATATTTATATAGTAAACCTATTTAGAGACATAGATGTTTATATTATTTTCTATAAACTGGACCATATTTAAGAAAGTTTGATTTATTCTAAACCTATATATTATTCACAAATGTTTATGACACCAAATGAGATAACTATAAAAGTATATTTTATGGAGTACTAATAATTTGGTTTCATAAATCTTTGCTCTTTTCTATAAATAAATTCAGTCAAACTAAAAAATTGACTTGAGATAATTCTAGATATTGATTTATTCAAGTCCGGTGGGAGTAATTTTGGTGGGAGTAATTTTCTGATATGGAGGAAGTATATTGCCTGATCTTGAATGAAACCTTGTAAAAGGAGAACTTATTGCTGGGGCCAGAGAGTTTTGCCCTGGCTGGCGGGTCCCACATGTGAAGCGCCCGCCTTGCCCCTCGTGTTCTTGCATTGATTTGTTGTGTTGTGTCGTCTAAAAAGGCATGCATGCATGCTGGGGTTGGCCGTCGGCGACACGTCGTCTGTGGCAGTGGCACGCAGGGAAGGTTACTGATGACCGGTCGTCCGATCGACGCCATCGCCATGCCAGTATGCCATGCATGCACGGAGATGGAGGCGCTCATCGTCGTTTGGCTCGGCTCCCCAGAATGGTATGGGCGCTGGCAGCCTTGAATGCCATCCATGCATGCATGCACCGGCGCCGGCCGGCCGGCCTTCTAGCGACGGTGGCAAGCGCGCCCATCCGCTAGTTCCATTCAGCTGTCCTTCGCCAGTTCGCCTGGCATGGCATAGCAGCAGCATCGCCGTCGCCATGCCATACTCTCTTCCTGCAAGCATGGAGAGAGAAAGAGACCACGAGGAGGCCCACTGAGTATCCGAGTTTTGAGTTTTTCCCAAGGACCAGAAAAAGGGTCATGCCATATGCTTCTAGGCTTTGGGCCAGGCCCAGAGAGATGGGCCGGACCGAGACCGAGAAGTAATTCAGATTACAAGAAAATGTTTGAGGAGTAGAGGACACATTGCATTTCAAACGAATGGAAAAACAATTTGATATATTTCATCATAAATGATTACAGAACGACTTGACCCAAATACATAAATTAATTATGTCTAACACACCCCGTCACCATGCACATATATTCATATATCAGATTAATTAAATAATATATGGGAACAGCGTTGCAAGTGACGTCTTAGCTTCCAACTCGACCACCGCAGCAACAGTCACCTAGAACGAGCGAGGCAACGGTGGACCGATCCATCATCCACGCTTAGTGGAGGTAGTAGGCGAGGAGGGAGAAGAGGAGCGCGGCGGGGGCGGCGGTGAGGGCGGGCGCGCCGCTGGTGGCGCCGGAGGGTCCCGCGGCGCCGCCGGCTGCGGCGGCCCCACCGGGGGCCTCGGCGCCGGCGGCAGACGACTCGGAGGCAGTTGGGGCGCCGGCGGCCGCAGCACCACCGGCGGCGGCCTCGGTGGAGGCCAGCACCGCGGTGACCGAGGCGGCGGCGACGAGCAGGGCGAAGAGGATCCTCATCTTCATCTCCATCTCGCTCTTGCGGTGGCTGTGGTGGTACCTCGGCGGCGGCGGCTTACCTGAGGTCGACGGTTGGCTGGCTTGTTCTCTCGATGGAGCGGCGACGGCGAGAGTTTATTAGTTTCTTTGGCTGGCTCTTATTGGAGGCTACTGCTGGTTCACCTCTCGATTGCCTTTCTGCTGCGTCTTGGAGGAGCAGAGGACGCAGGGTTTTATACCCGGGGGAAGGCTGGGTGCGTGTGGTTACGACAGGAATCAGGGGACGATAGCCATATATAGACTGTGATTAATTTAGAAATGGCTGTTAATTTGGGACGGGACGAATGAAATTGGTGGTGTGGTTTTCATTCACACACCTAAAATGGCTGGCTGGAGACGCAAGCGATCGGTACATAGATGTGCAAGGTGGAGCGGCACTTCCGCGACGCTCGAGAATGTGCCTCTACTCGTTAGACAAACGAGACAAAGTCTTTGATCAATATCAACGTACGGCGTGTTTAGTTCTATCCCAATTTCCAAAAAGTTGCTACAGTACCTGTCACATCGAATGTTTGCGGCCCGTGCATGGAGCATTAAATGTAGACGAAAAGATAAACTAATTGCACAGTTTGGTGGAAAATTACGAGATGAACGTTTTGAGCCTAATTAGTCCATGTTTAAACACTATTTACCAAATAAAAACGACATGCTACAGTACCTCAAAATCCAAATTCCTACAACTAAACAAGGGTGTAATTTAGCTCTGGAAAAAGGAAAACTCGATCGGCTCAACAATAGGCTCGCGAGTTATTAAACATGTAAAACAACTACAATACTACTAGCTAGTTTCGAACTAGCATAAATGTTGCATTTACAAAATAGCTCATGCACGTACTAGGAAACAAAGTTTTCAGTGGCCGAATACACTTTGAGCTAAGTAATAATCAACCCTTACTGAATTATAGGGTATTTTCATTTGTCCTAAGTTAGTACATCTTAAGTTTAACTAAATTTATAAAAAAAACAATATTTTTGACACCATATAAGCTCCATTAGAAACATTATGAATGTATTTTTGTAACTTATCTTTTTGATATGGTAGAAGTTAATATGTTTCTCTATAATTTTAGTCAACCATGAGTTGGGTTAACTTATGACAAATGAAAATACGCTATATTTCAGGACGAAGGGAGTAAGAGCTAGCTAAGTTAAATATGTTAATAAATCAACCCTAGCTTCCATTTTCCCCCCTTTCTCCCCACATCTATGCTGTTCTTATTGCTGAATGTATAGTAAATATTTTCATAGGCTAATAACAGCCAATCTATTTCTTTGTGCAACACGCATTGTCATGGTTAATTAGTTGGGGGAGTCATATTTGCCTCATGAAATATTCTCATAGTCCATGTTCCCTCCTAGAACTCTAAAATCAAGCAAAATACCTCCGCCAACTCTCAAAACCATTTAAATTACACTGCCCTAGTTAGAGTTGGTTTTGAAGGTGATTTTATATTTTTTATCATAAAAATAGTAAACATACCTATAAACTTCAAAAAGTATATTTAGCTCTAGAAAAATGGAAAATTATCAAAAAAAATACATATTTTACAAAAACTTTTCGCGGTAAAAACATGAGATGCAACAAGCATGAATGTATTCAGCATTAATGCATGTTGTGTTCATGCTAGATGCATCTCATATTTGTCATGAAAAGTTTCTAAAAAACATGTTTAGTCATTGATAAGAATGTTTTGAGAATTTACCTTATTTTTTATCAATTTTTCCCATTTTTCTAGAGCTAAAATCTAATTTTGTGGAAGCTCGTAGATATATTATCATGGTTTCTAAATATTTTATTTGGATTCCTCATGTATCATTCTATCTGTAGGGTTTTTTTTGGAAATGCTTAGAAGCTTAGAGATATTTTTTTTCATGGCTTATTAGAAACGTTATTAGAATATTTTCCTGGTTTTTTTAATTAAAATGACAAAACCATCTAGACCACTTTTAACCTGTGCAGGGAGATAACTTAAATGGTTTTTGAGAGCTGAGAGATGCAATTTGCATGGTTTTCGGGTTTGAGGAGTAAAAACTGAACTAGGACGATAGTTGAGGAGACGAAAAAGATTTTTTTTCCTTTATTTATTAGTTTGTTCAACGCTCACTCTGTCCGTGGGGCTTGGTTCGAGAAACGAGGCCCACGTCGGCGAGGCGAGAGAGAACCAACCGTGCGATGCCGGCCGGGCTGCGCGGGCTGGAGAGCGGAGGGGGGGGGCTCGCGAGCGATTGGGAAAGTTTGGAGCTTACACAGTTACACGGGCTGCTAAGGGCCCGGCCAGATCAGGTGGGCTACGTGACACGGAAAAGTGAGCACAGACGGCGGACGGACGTGGGCTGTGAAGAGGGCCCTGACACGCACACATGGCGGAGCAGGCCCAGGTTCACGGGCCCCTCCCGCTTGCTGCTGTTCTGGGCAGGCCTATCACTATCACCATTCACCTGTGCGGTGGAGGAGCAGCAGGAGCAGCGTTGCAGCAGCACAGCTGCCGACTGCCACTTTTCTGATGGAAAAGAAAACGAAAACAAGCTGCCGACTGCCACGCCCACGCCGCAACCCTGGCGGACTGGTCTAGTGGGTGGGATTTTTTTTTTTTTAACACTTTTTAAACCATTTTCAAATATGACACTTTTTTTTTTTTTCTAAACTAACACTTTTAGCCGCGCCTATTCGTATGGCGCGGCGAAATCACGTTGCCGCGCTATGCATGGAGCGCGGTAGGAGCGGCGGCGTGGCAGCGACCAGGGTCGCTGAACGCTGATGTGGCCGGGGCTGCCGCACCGCGGATCTGGGCGCGGCACTGACGCGCCAAAGCGCATGGCGCAGCAAAGCCCATCACAGGCCCGCGGCAAGGCCTCTCTTCTTCCCTTTCTCTCCATTCCTTTCTTTGTCTAGTCCGCCGCCGCCCGACACCGCCACCACCTACCCGACCGCGCCGCTACGTTCTGTCGCGCCCGCCCACGGCCTTGGGCCCTCCACCGCACCTCCATCCCTCCCTCTCTCTCCCCATTCCCTACTCAGCGAGGTCAAGCCCCTTGGCCGCCCGCCTCCCCCTGTTGCAGTGCGCCCATACATGGCGCCTCCATCCATCCTCCTCCTTGGCTCGTCCCACCGCCGCCCGCCCTCCCTACACATGTGCCATGACGCCTCCCTTGGTGATAGGCTAGGGGTCCGCCCCTTGGCCGTCCGCGCCGCCTCCCTTGGTGCTAGGCTGGGGTTCAGCCCCTTAGTCGTCCTCGTCGACGGCCCTATCCATCGTCGAGGCTGACCTCCAGGAGCTCTCCCCGTTGTTGCTAAGTTATTCCCCCCTCCAAGACCCTCATTTTGGTGATTAAATTTTGAATGAATTGATTATTATTAGTGATTTGGTATAGTTAAGTAGTTAGGATTTAGGGTATGGTTAAGTAGTTAGCCTTTAGGTTTTTGTTAGTTAGGATATTGGGTTTAGGGTTTGGTTAGTAATTTAGGGTTTAGGTTTTTGTTAGTTAGGATTAGGGGTTTAGGGTTTAGGCTATTGTTAGTTAGGACTTTGGGTTTAGAGATTGGTTAGGTTGTTCTGGTTTAGTTAGTTTGTAGTAGTAATGGTAGTTAGTATTGATACTAGTTTTCATGTGTTGGTACTTAGTAGTACGTGATATGACGATTTTAACGACTTTATGAAGTTTCCTCGAATGCTTTTGTAGATGGATTGTTGTGTCCGAGTTTTTTATGGAGGAAGTGTTAGAAAAGAAGATGGTATGTTTGAGGATATGGAAGAAGAATTAGAATGGTTTGATGAACCTTCTAGGTTCGATGGCCTTTGTGTTTGTTTGAATGCAAAGTTTGGTGGTGATTTCATAGTGAAGGGAAGGTTTGATAGTGGGAAGACTAGGGCACACTACGTGTTGATGCCCTTACGCGACCATGCTCACTGGTCCCGCTACAATAGGGTAATCCAAGGTTCCAATGTGGCCTTGGCTGAGGTGGTTGTGGAGAATGGGTATATGATGCATGATCTCCAGGAGGGGCCGCCCTTCGATGATGATACTCAACAAGAATGTGGGGTTCATGTAGAACCAACTATGGGTACTATGGATTTGGATGGGCAGTTAACGCATGAGCAGTTTCATTCAAGTCAAGTAGGCTGTATAAGCAATGACTTCGATGTGAACAAGTTTGAACATGAAGAGGTGGAGCAGGAGGAGGAGGATAGGATCGGTGATGTAGTTAGCAGTGATTTAGACGATTAAGATGATGATCAGGGAGGTAGACATGCTATGCCCACACTGGTTGATGCCATGCCAGTACCTATTTATGGTATGTCATTACCAGTACCAACTGAGGTTTTGCATGCTCTGCTGGCTCAAGGTAGACTAGTCACAGATTTGCCAGCAGATGATACCCCCTATGATTCATGGGGTAGAATTAGCGAAGCACAGCAGTATGTTCCACCACCACCTTACACAGCGATAGAGCTTGAGCAACCAAGGTATGGCATCATGACCACTAACTCCTTGGAGTCTTTCGACCGTGTATTCACCGGAGTTCGATCGTTGCCTGTGTCTGGAATTGTTGAGTTCTTCTTTTATAAGTGCAACGAATATTTTATCAAGAGGTGAAAACTTACGCAGAGGAATATATCTAAGTAGGGGCAATTTGGAAAGGTCGGAGCAGAACATTTGAAGGAGACCAAGGAATTGGCAAAGCAGCACACCGCCGAGCCGTATGGACCCCGCCGCCATATCTTTAGTGTACGAGGCAAGGGGTGGCACAAGCTTGGGCGGCGAACGTTATGGTGGACGAAACTACCGAGTTGATCTTGACAAAGTAGAGTGCAATTGCAACGTCCCTCAGATCATGTATGCCCCTTGCTCTCATATGATCATGGCATGCAGGGTTCGCTGGTATAACTTTGAGGATCTGCCATATTTGTCACCCTTGTATCTCCGTTCGAACACCATTAGTATTTGGGAGAGGAGCTTCGAGCCATACCTTG